TTCTTTATTTGTCACATGCATAGTTGTATGAGTTCAACACGCAGTGAAATAAATTGTGTCCTGAAACGCTCCCCGATTAAAGAGGACATTATATACACTAAGTAAATAAATATACATTAAGTTAATTTAATAAAGCAATCTGGAAATGTTTGATTAAAAGTCTCAAAATGTACATTGTGTGAGTGGAATGTTAAAGTGTCTTGTGCCATATTACCACTGCAATGTACAGACAGAGCAGTGCAGGTGGTGTAAACAAGTGCCCAGAGTGATATAAACAGAGTAATACAACAGAGTGACCAGAGTAGTGCAAACTGTAATGTATAAGGTAATATACACAATAGTGAGGCCAAGAAGAGTCAGACATGATATGAGATGATAATTTTTGGAGGTATTGGTGATAAAACTGTTTTCTGCATTTATGATGGAAACAAACTTCTGTGATGAAGAAGATTCTCCAGGTTCAGCCGTAGTGGTCTGTAAACACACTGTAAACACACTGTAAACACACTGTAGGAAATGATCAGTGAACATAGTACATGAATATTGTATAAATACATGTGACTGTTTCAATTTTTGGTGTTCAGTGTTTTTTTAAGTAACTCATTTTTGCTCAGATCAGTGAGATGAGGTTGTGCAGAATGATCAAGTGTAATTATGTAAAGCTTATTCTGCTGTGATGCTGAGACCCGTGTTTTGGGGAAACCAAGAAGAAGGTAAGCAGAGATCAGTGAATGAGTCCTGCTCCATCACAGCAGACGTCTCCGAGTAAGACAGAGATCTGTTTATTTTAGTCAAGTTTTTTTCATACAGGCCACTGAATCAGCTTTAAAATCTCCCATTTAAATTTCCAGTGTTCAGGATAATAACTGCTGGAGAGTGAATTAAATCAGCAGGATGCTCTGATTTTCAGTCTAATGATGGAGTAAAACGATGGAGAAAAGTTAAAGTGGAAGATAAAAACCTGAGATTGTTCAATGTATAACTTTAGTTCCTTGCTCAGCTTTCCTTGACTGGTTTGTTAGTTCCCTGTTTTGATCCCTTTCTGTTCCTTCAGTCTTGTCCCCGTGTCCTGTCTTCACTCGGAGTGTCCTGTCTTCATGGTCATCTTTCTTATTTTCCCGTTTAGTTGTGTCACGTTGATCTTGCCTCCTTTAGT